CAGTGTCCTGTGTCCTGTCCCCAGTGTCCAGTGTCCTGTCCCCAGTGTCCAGTGTCCTGTCCCCAGTGTCCAGTCCCCAGTGTCCAGTCCCCAGTGTCCTGTCCCCAGTGTCCTGTCCCAGTGTCCAGTGTCCTGTCCCAGTGTCCTGGGCCTGTCCCCAGTGTCCTGTGTCCTGTCCCCAGTGTCCAGTGTCCTGTCCCCAGTGTCCACTGTCCTGTCCCCAGTGTCCAGTCCCCAGTGTCCAGTCCCCAGTGTCCTGTCCCCAGTGTCCTGTCCCCAGTGTCCAGTGTCCTGTCCCCAGTGTCCAGTGTCCTGTTCCCACTGTCCAGTGTCCTGTCCCCAGTGTCCTGTCCCCAGTGTCCTGGGCCTGTCCCCAGTGTCCTGTGTCCTGTCCCCAGTGTCCAGTGTCCTGTCCCCAGTGTCCTGTCCCCAGTGTCCTGTCCCCAGTGTCCTGTCCCCAATGTCCAGTGCCTGTCCCCAGTGTCCAGTCTCCTGTCCCCAGTGCCTGTCCCCAATGTCCAGTGACTGTCCCCAATGTCCAGTCCCCAGTCCCCAGTGCCTGTCCCCAGTGTCCAGTCTCCTGTCCCCAGTGACTGTCCCCAATGTCCAGTGTCCTGTCCCCAGTGTCCATTGTCCAGTGTCCAGTGTCCTGTCCCCAATGTCCAGTGCCTGTCCCCAGTGTCCTGTCCCCAGTCCCCAGTGTCCAGTGTCCTGTCCCCAATGTCCAGTGCCTGTCCCCAGTCCCCAGTGCCTGTCCCCAGTGTCCTGTCCCCAGTGTCCATTGTCCAGTGTCCTGTCCCCAGTCCCCAGTGACTGTCCCCAGTGTCCCCACGTTTCTCCCTGCAGGACCCGGAGCTGGAGGCGCGGAGGCGAGCGGAGCTGGCCAAGATCCGGAGGAAGAACAAGGAATGTCGGGAGAAGGTGCAGCAGAGCCTGGAGAGGAGGAAGCAGCTGCAGCTCAAGAGGAAACTGCAGAAGAGGCTGGAGAGGAGGAGGAGGAAGATGGAGAAGGAGAAGGAGAAGGAGGAGCAGTGACATCCCTGGGCCCGGCCTGGGCTGCCCTGGAATTGCTTTGGGAAAGTTGGGGTTGGACTCTTCCATGTGTTCATCGGTGCTGGGGAGAAGGGAGCAATCCCAAAATCCAAAATTTGGGTTGGAAGGGCCTCAAACCTCACCCAGATCCACCCAGGTGGCTCCAACCCGGCCATGGGAACTTCCAGGGATCCAGGGGCAGCCACGGCTTCTCTGGGAATTCCATCCCAGCCCCTCCTCACCCTCCCAGCCAGGAATTCCTTCCCAAAATCCCACAAAAATTCCCCTTTTCCAATTAAAATCCATTCCCTGTGTCCTGAGGTTCCATCTCTTGTCCCAAATCCCTCTCCAGCTCTCCCGAGCCCCTTTAGAGATTGGAAGCAGCTCCAAGGTTTTTCTGGAGCTTCCCTCCTTCAGCCTGGCCTTGGACATTCCAGGGATCCAGGGGCAGCCACGGCTTCTCTGGGAATTCCATCCCAGCCCCTCCTCACCCTCCTCATCCTCCTCCTCCTCACCCTCGCTGTTCCCGGGCTGGTGCCGGCAGAGGGCAGCGGGAGAGCTCCGGACACCGCGCACGGCTCGGGTGTCCTGGGGCTGGAGGGGACGTGGGGACAGGGACGAGGACGTGGGGATGAGGGGGCTGCCGTGGGGTCAGCGGGGGTGCTGTGGGGACAGGAGAGGTGCCATGGGGACAGGGATGGGGACATGGGGACATGGGGACAGGGATGGGGACATGGGGACAAGGGGGCTGCCATAGGGTCAGTGGGGGTGCTGTGGGGACAGGGACGGTGCTATGGGGACAGGGACAGAGCTATGGGGACAGGGACAGGGCTATGGGGACAGGGACAGGGCTATGGGGACAGGGACGGTGCTATGGGGACAGGGACAGAGCTATGGGGACAGGGACAGGGCTATGGGGACAGGGACAGGGCTATGGGGACAGGGACAGAGCTATGGGGACAGGGACAGGGCCGTGGGGATAGGGACAGGGCTATGGGGACAGGGACAGGGCCGTGGGGACAGGGACAGTGCTATGGGGACAGGGACAGTGCCATGGGGACAGGGACAGAGCTATGGGGACAGGGCTATGGGGACAGGGACAGAGCTATGGGGACAGGGACAGAGCTGTGGGGACAGGGACAGTGCCATGGGGACAGGAGAGGTCCCGTGGGGATTCTGATGGTGCCATGGGGACAGGGACAGTGCCACAGAGGTGACACCAGCTGTGCCCACCCCACCCCGCTGTTCCCTGCAGGACGCGTTTGCTCCCCCTGAGCGCTGCCGGGGGGCTCTGGGCGCCGTCCCCCCGATCTCCCCGCGCTGGGAGCTCATTCCCAGCAATTCCCAACAATTCCCAACAATTCCCAACTGCTGGATTTTGGGAAAAGCGAGCTGGAGACGAGGAGGAACGCACAAAGAACCCCCACAATAATCATAAACACAATTACAAACCACAACAATAAATCCCTCTGCCAGAGGCCACCGGGATCCCTGCTGGGGGAGGCATTTTTGGGGGGGGGAAAAATCCATTTTTTTTCCACCTCCCAGCCCGAATTCCGTGTCCTGGTGATGGCCTGGGGGTGTCACACGCACGGCCTGCGCTGCCGAGTGTAAACAGAACATTTCTGCACTAAAAATAACCCTCTCCTCTGAGGAAAGGAGCAGCTGATCCCTGCAAGCCCAGATGCAGGAGCTCAGCAGGGTCAGGTCACCTCTTCTTTCATTAACGCCATCGTTTAATTAGGAATTGCCCCGGCAGCTTTGCCTCCATCAAGAGCTCGTTCTTAAAAATAAAAAAAAAAAATGATAAAAATTCATAAAAATGGATGAAAAGCCAGGTATCAAAGGCAGGCTGGTAAATAACTTTGATGTTTAACAACACCACGGGGCTTTCTGGGGAAGGGAAGGACTTTTGGCTCTTGTTTAAAATCGCTCCCAGATTATCCAGCGTGGCCTTTTCTCCTCCCGGCTCCACAGAAACCTTGGAAATGCTGGAATTAAAGTCCAGGCTTTGGGAAGGGTAATTCTGTCTTTGTGGAGGAGGAGGAGGAGTCAGAGCTGGGTTGGATTTGCCTCTGGTGGCATTTCCCATTCCCATTCCCACTAAAATTCCGGATTTTTAGGCCAGGCCAGGCCTGAGGGCCGTGGTTTTGGGGCTGAATTCCCATTTTTCTGCTCACAGGGAGAATCTCTGAGATGTTTTCATTGCTCATCCCACTCTGCTGATCATTTCCCCCTTTATTAATGATCTGCCTGGGTTTGAATAATTCAATTTAATTTGCCAGAAGCACCGGGCCTCTCCAGGCCCCTGCGCTCGGGAGCGTCTCCCTCAGCCAGGATGGAGCTGCTGACAGGAATTTCTGCTGGCAGACACAAAAATGCGGCTTTGCCACCTTTGGAACACGACATTTCCACCTCTGGAAGCACAAAAAATTAGGAAATAAATCACGGTGAGGGCTGCAGAAGGCGCAGCGGGGATGTGGCGGCGCCGCTGCTTTGAGACTTCCAAAATCCTTTGGAAACGGCTGGAAATTGGTTCAAATCCAATTCCTGGCTGGAATTGGTGCTGTTGGAACAGCTCCAGCGAGGTTTTCTCCTGGCTGAGGCCGGATTTGTGGGAATAGCTGGTGAAAAATGGGATTTCATTAGTGTGGAAGGAGGGAAGGCCGCAGGGGAAGGGCCTCCCACACCCATCCAGCACAGGCCAAGAGAAAGGCCTTTCCTTGATTTCCCAAATGCTGATTAAAAAAAACATTTCCAGAATATTCTGGCAGGGAAAAGAGCAGCTCCAGCACCCCTGGGACACAGAAAATGTGGAGGGAATGTGAAGGGAATTTGGGCTCTGGGGGAAAAGGGGCACGGCCAGGGCTGCCAGCAGCTCAGGGACAGCCCCAGACTGGGCCAGAACCGGGGAAAATCCCTCAAAAAAATAATTGCAGAGCTCAGGAAAAACCTGCTCGGGGTTTAATGAGCCCTGAATTGAGCAGTGGCAGAGACAGGAACACCCAGAACCTGCTGGGGGTGCTGGGGAGAGGCAGGATCCTCGTGCAGGATCCCACTGGATCCCTGTGGATCCCTCACTCCACTCTGGGATCAGCTGCAGATTCCTCATTTTGTGTCTCACTGAGGGATCTGAACGATTTCGGACCTCCCTGCATCATTTTTAAACCTCCTGATGCCGTGTTTAGATCTCCTCACATGATTTTAAACCTCCTCCCATGATTTTTAAACCTCCTCCCATGATTTTAAACCTCCTCACATGATTTTTAAACCTCCTCACACGACTTTAGACCTCCCTGCATCATTTTTAAACCTCATGATGCTCTGTTTAGATCTCTTCACAGGATTTTGGACCTCCTCCCATGATTTTTAAACCTCCCCACCTGATTTTTAAACCTCCTCACATGATTTTCAGACCTTCTCCCATGACTTCAGACATCCTCACATGATTTTTAAACCTCCTCACACGATTTTTAAACCTCCTCACATGACTTTAGACCTCCCTGCATCATTTTTAAACCTCCTGATGTGGTGTTTAGATCTCCTCACATGATTTTTAAACCGCCTCAGGTGATTTTTATACCTTCCCACATGATTTTTAGACCTCATTGCATCCTTTTAAAACCTTCTGACACAGTTTTTAGACCTCCTCCCATGACTTTTAGACCTCCTTGCATGGTTTTAAACCTCCTCACATGATTTTAAACCTCCTCCCATGATTTTTAGACCTCCTTGCATGATTTTAAACCTCCTCCCATGATTTTTAAACCTCCTCCCATGATTTTTACATCTCCTCCCATGATTTTTAGACCTCCTTGCATGATTTTTAAACCTCCTCACATGATTTTAAACCTCCTCCCATGATTTTTAAACCTCCTCCCGTGACTTTTAAACCTCCTCCCATGATTTTTAGACCTCCTCCCATGATTTTAAACCTCCTCCCATGATTTTTAAACCTCCTCCCATGATTTTTAAACCTCCTCCCATGATTTTAAACCTCCTCCCATGATTTTTAACCTCCTCACATGATTTTAAACCTCCTCCCATGATTTTTAAACCTCCTCACATGATTTTAAACCTCCTCACATGATTTTTAAACCTCCTCACACGACTTTAGACCTCCCTGCATCATTTTTAAACCTCATGATGCTCTGTTTAGATCTCTTCACAGGATTTTGGACCTCCTCCCATGATTTTTAAACCTCCCCACCTGATTTTTAAACCTCCTCACATGATTTTCAGACCTTCTCCCATGACTTCAGACATCCTCACATGATTTTTAAACCTCCTCACACGATTTTTAAACCTCCTCACATGACTTTAGACCTCCCTGCATCATTTTTAAACCTCCTGATGTGGTGTTTAGATCTCCTCACATGATTTTTAAACCGCCTCAGGTGATTTTTATACCTTCCCACATGATTTTTAGACCTCATTGCATCCTTTTAAAACCTTCTGACACAGTTTTTAGACCTCCTCCCATGACTTTTAGACCTCCTTGCATGGTTTTAAACCTCCTCACATGATTTTAAACCTCCTCCCATGATTTTTAAACCTCCTCCCATGATTTTTACATCTCCTCCCATGATTTTTAGACCTCCTTGCATGATTTTTAAACCTCCTCACATGATTTTAAACCTCCTCCCATGATTTTTAAACCTCCTCCCGTGACTTTTAAACCTCCTCCCATGATTTTTAGACCTCCTCCCATGATTTTAAACCTCCTCCCATGATTTTTAAACCTCCTCCCATGATTTTTAAACCTCCTCACATGATTTTAGATCTTCTCCCATGACTTCAGACCTCCTCCCATGATTTTTACATCTCCTCCCATGACTTTTAGACCTCCTTGCATGATTTTTAAACCTCCTCCCATGATTTTAAACCTCCTCCCATGATTTTTAAACCTCCTCCCATGATTTTTAAACCTCCTCACATGATTTTAAACCTCCTCCCATGATTTTTAAACCTCCTTCCATGATTTTTAAACCTCCTCCCGTGACTTTCAGACCTCCTCACACCATTTTTACCCCTCCCCACACAACTCTCATCCCCTTGGAGGGTCAGTTCTCTGCTGCAGGCTGAGCTGGAGCCCTCGGGGGCCGCTCTGGGGACATCAAACACGGGAAGAACCAGCAGAAAATCAGATTTTGTGCAGCTGGGGCAGGTTCTGGGGCCAGCAGCACGGAATTCCCTGGAGCCGGGGGAGCTCTGGGAGCGTTTCCCTGGCTGGGAATCCTGCTGGGATGTGCAGCAGCTTGAGCAGGAGCTGGGAAAGCTGACTCAGCCAGGCGTGGCACCCACAGAGCTGGGAGAGAGGCGAGGCTGCAATTCTGCTGCCAGGATTTCAGGATCCATTCCCAGCTCAGCCGTGGTGGAAAACCCATGGAAAATCCATTTTTTCCCCACCCCCAGTGACAGAGATGCAAACCGAACACACCTTGCTGGGAGCTGATCTCTATTTCAGAAGGAGGGAGAAAATATCCAACACTGGCGTGGGGTGGGAAACAAATCCCGAAAAATTTTTGTGTCCCCCCACTCCACTTCCTTCCTTTTCTTCTTAAATACCCTGGAACAAAAAGTTTCTGTGGCGGCTCCAGCCCCAGACAGTCATGAGAACGCTTCATGCAACAGAAAAATGAAAATAAAGTGAAAACTGAGGGGAAAAAAAGCCCAAACCTGGAGGGGAAGAGCTCTGCAGGTCTGGGAATTCCTGCATTTCCCTGGGAATGGGAAGGGCACGACCCAGCACGGAGCCACCGGCAGATTCCCGAGGTGCCAGACCTGCTGTGGGATCCTCTGTGGCCACCAGCTGAGCCAGAGGGAACATTCCCAGAAATTCCCAGGATTTCTGCTGCCTTCGCTGGGTTTAGAGCAGCAACGAGGAACAAAAAACCACCCCCAAATCCATCCAAATCCAGCCAAATCCAGCCAAATCCATCCAAATCCATCCCTGCTCCTGGGAGGGAGCAGCTACAGCACTCCCAGCCTATGGGCTCTGGCAGTGGCACAGGAGAGGGACACAATTCCAGACTTCCACAATTCCAGACTTCCACAATTCCAGATTTCCACAATTCCAGATTTCCACAATTCCAGACTTCCACAATTCCAGATTTCCACAATTCCAGATTTCCACAATTCCAGATTTCCACAATTCCAGCTTCCCACCATTTCCACAATTCCAGATTTCCACAATTCCAGCTTCCCACCATTTCCACAATTCCAGATTTCCACGGACCTCCCTCAGGCTCAATCCCAAAGGCTGGACAGCACCTAAGAGAACTCCCAGATTTCTGGGATAACCCCAAATTTCTGGGATAACCCCCAAACTTCTGCTTTAAGTCCAGGATTTTAGGGATAACTCCCAGATTTCTGGTTTAACTCCCATATTTTAGGTGTTAACACCCAAATTTCTGAGCTAACTCCCAGATTTCTGGGACAACCCCTGAATTTCTGGGACAACCCCTGAATTTCTGGGATAATCCCTGAATTTCTGGGACAATCCCTGAATTTCTGGGATAACTCCCCACCTTCCCCCAGGCCCCTCAGGGCACCGATCCCAGCGTGTTCCCGACTCCTCCCGCTCTCCTTGAATCCAGCTGGGACCTGTCCCCGTCACACGGAGCAGGACATCCCTGGGGGCTGCTTCCCAAAAATAAAAAGGAAAAATAAAAAAATTTAAATTAAAAAAAAAAAAAAAGCCCCCCCCAAAAAAAGCCCCAAGAGCACCTGGGATTTGCTCCATTTAATTCCAATTATCCGCAGCCCTCGGAGGCCGGGAGCGACGCCAAGCCCAGGCCGTGCCCTGAGGGATGTCCCACTTCCCAAATTCACCTGCCCCAAGGTTTTCACCCGCTCTGTTCCACTCTCCCAGGATTTTCCTGCAGTTTTGCCTCTGGAGGAGCAGTGGGAAGGACTCGAGGTCACCTTGGGATGCTCCTGGCAGTGCCCAGGATGGGGGGAAAAGCAGGAATTTCTCCTCCCTCCCTCCCCTCCCCAGGTGGCTGATTTACAAAAGGAGAGTGGTTTCCTAAAAAATAAAACTACAGAGAAGAAATTAACCCGGACTGAGGCTGCTGGGCCCTTTCCCCACAGGAAATGTAAAAACCTCGGGGCCACGGTGGCAGCAGGGAGCTGGCAGGGCACAGCTGGCACATCTGGGCTGTGCCACGGCCGTGGAGAGCCAGAGAGCGCTGGCTGGGACTTCAGGGGCTCCCTGCAGAGGATTTGGGGGTTCAGGTGCTCCCTGCAGAGGATTTGGGGGTCCAGGTGCTCCCTGCAGAGGATTTGGGGGTCCAGGTGCACCCTGGAGAGGATTTGGGTGCTCCCTGCAGAGGATTTGGGGGTTCTGGTGCTCTCTAGAGAGGATTTAGGGACTTAGGTGCTCCCTGGAGAGGATTTGAGTGCTCCGTGGAGAGGATTTGGGGGTCCAGGTGCTCCCTGGAGAGGATTTTTGGATTCAGGTGCTCCCTGCAGAGAATTTGGGAGTCCAGGTGCACTTTAGAGAGGATTTGGGTGCTCCCTGCAGAGGATTTGGGGGTCCAGGTGCTCCCTGGAGAGGATTTGGGTGCTCCGTGGAGAGGATTTGGGGGTCCAGGTGCTCCCTGGAGAGGACTTGGGTGCTCCCTGGAGAGAGTTCAGGAGCTCAAGTCCTCTGTGCCCTGCTCTGGGGGCTGGCTGGGCAGCGAGTGGCTGCTCTGGTGTCCACTCTGTGCAGGCAGCTGCTGGTGGGGTGGCAAATCCTGCCCGGCCAGGCGCTGAGGCCGCTCCGTGCCCTCAGGAGCTGTCGGTGCCCGGGCCCAGCTGGGGCTGCCCCTGCTCCGGGGGGGCTCCTCCGCCTCTGGAGCTGCTCAGTTGCTCTCCACCAGCTTGGCCAGCCCCTGCCTGAGCTCGCTGAGCTCGAAGATCTTCACATCCATGATCTCGGCCACCTTGGTGACCTCGCTGTGCATCTTCTCCCTCTCGGCCAGGCTCTCTGCCAGGGTCTGCTCAGCCAGGTGAAGGCGCTGCTCCAGCTCCGCGTTCCGGGCCTCCAGCTCCTGCAGGGACAGGGAGAGTGCTCAGAGCCCCTCGTGTCCCCGGCCAGCCAGCCCAGGGCCACCCAGTGTCCCCAGAGCTCCTTCCCTCAGGGGTGTCCCCTGTCCTGAGGCACCGTCTGGGAGCTCTGGCCACAAACCCCAGCCCCGCCTGCGGTGTGAGGGTGTGGAACTGCAGCTCTGCCCTCATGGATCCTCCCCAGCCCGGTGGGATTGGCTCTGGATCCTCCCCAGCCAGGTGGAATCGGCTCTGGATGTCCCCAGCCTGGTGGGATTGGCTCTGGATGTCCCCAGGTTGGTGGGATTGGCTCTGGAGCTGCTCTGGATGTCCCCAGCCTGGTGGGATTGGCTCTGGATGTCCCCAAATTGGTGGGATTGGCTCTGGATGTCCCCAGGTTGGTGGGATTGGCTCTGGATGTCCCCAGGCTCTGGAGCTGCTCCTGCCGTGGGAAGCCGTGAGGAGCTCGGAGCTCTGGGGTAATTGTGGCTTTATCTCCCCCAAGAGCTGCTCCAGCTGTGTCCCTGCCACCCCCAGCGGGAATTCCAGAACTCTGAGGGTGGAGAGGAGCAGGACACCCCCAAGTTCTGCCACAATCCCACGCCAGGAGCTGCTGCAAGTGCTCAAGGAAATAAAAGTGAGGCCGGGACAGCCGCTGGCCCCGTGTCACACCCCGAGGGACACGGGGAGGGTGGCAGAGGGCAGGGGACAGCGAGGAGCTGCTCCCGGCCTCCAGAGGGGCTCTCCAGCATTCCCTCCACGGCTCCGGGGAGAAGCGGGGATGGATCTGGGAGCTGGGGTGCCCCAAAAGTGCCGCCTTTACCTGCAGCTTCTGCAGCGTCTCCTCGCGCTCCCCCTCGGCCTCCCAGCGGCCGCACTTCTGGCTCTTCAGCATCTGGATCTCCTGGGGCACACAGGGATTGAGATTTCAGCTGCTCTGGTTCTCAGATCCTGTCCTGCTGTGGATACCTCGAGATTTTCCCTTTTCTGGTTCTCAGATCCTGTCCTGCTGTGGATACCTCGAGATTTCCCCTTTTCTGGTTCTCAGATCCTGTCCTGCTGTGGATACCTCGAGATTTTCCCTTTTCTGGTTCTCAGATCCTGTCCTGCTGTGGATACCTCGAGATTTTCCCTTTTC